ACGTGATATATATTTATTTGTATATAAATATAATTTATTTGTAAGTTATTATCAAAAAGTTCGAGTAGTTTAGTGGTTGGAGTATCGACCTCCAACACTAAGGTATCGGGTTCGTGTAAATATATAAATATATTTTATATTTATATATTTTATATTTATATATTTACACTGATAAATATAAATATAATTTATATGTAAGTTATTATCAAAATATCTTAATAATTTAGTGGTTGGAGTATCGACCTCCAACTCGAGGTATTGGGTTCGAATCCCGCCAATGACAATTCCCTTAATCTAATAATAATTCAAAGTTCCAAAAATATAATATATAGGGGAGGGGGTTGTAGTAAATAAATATATTTTGTTTAGGTGAGTACATTACTTAGGTGAGTACATTACTTACTGGATTATAATATATAGGGGAGGGGGTCCTAGGTAATAATAAAAAATAAAGGAGGGGTTGTAGTAAATAAATTGATATTTACTCTCTCGTTTCTTTATATATGACCTATAAGGTAATAATAACCCAAAAGATAATAATATATTATCATACCGTAAAAAAGATAAAATAATTAGTAAGATAATGTGTAACAAGATAATTAAATAAATAAAGTAATTTTAATGAATTTTGGTTAGGTAGGTACACAAGCCCTCAAACTCGAAGGCCGAGTTTCTTTAAGAATAAAGGTCAAATGAGTTTAAGATTGAGTTGATCATTTCATCATGTAAACAAGACGAGTTGTATTCAATTTGAACGTGTTTATCCTATAAATCATTATTCGGTTAGATCGAAATATATTTGTTGCTTAATAGAGCCTATTTATTTGTCATGCAAAGATAATAAGTCAAAAACTTTAGGAAAAGATATGTGTACTCATGCGACCCTGAGGAAAATAGATGCAAGTTTTCATAACTCATATACTTGAGTAAGGCGTGTACAACTCGTGTGACTCTGAGTAAGGTAAATGTAGGTTTTGATAACTCGTATACCTGAGTAAGATATGTATAATTTGTGTAACTCTGAATAAAGTATGTATAACTCGTGTGATATTGAGTAAGACAGATGCATGTTTTGATAACTCATATATTTGAGTAAGACATGTATAATTCGTGTGACCCATGTAAGGAAGATGCAAGTTTTGACAACTCGTATACTTAAGTAAGGTATGTGTAACTTGTGTGACTCTGAGTAAGGTATGTATTGTTAGAAAAATAGAATATTGCAAAATCTCTCATGAAGCCACGAAAGCTGCAACAAGAGTTGTGCGAGTCATCCTCCGCAAGTGTTGACCTTAACTGTTGCAGATCTGGAACCTCACATAGCCATTATCCCTTGATCCACGAAAACTACCCTATCTTTGCTCCCTCATATCTTGGCACCTTCGTAGATGTTGGTGGAGACGTGTGGAAGGTTGGGTTTTTTTTTTTTCTAAGTTCATACTTCACTTATAAATAGATCACTCCACACTCTTCCAAAATACACACTTCACTCATCTTCTCTTCTCTTCTTTTTCATTCTAATTTAAGAGTTACTTGCTAGATTCTAAGTTCCTCAAAAAATTTTGGGAAGTTCCTGTTTTATCCTGAGGGATTTGTACAATACACCGCGGATAAGTCCTTAAAGGCAATGATTATACACGCCTCAGGAATCAAATTTTGTACATGTTTTGTCAGTTTTTACAACATGTATAACTCGTGTGACCTCGAGTAAGGTAGATGAATGTTTTGATAATTCATATACCTTATTTATAACTCATGTGACCTCAAGTTTGGTAGATGTAAGTTTTGATAACTCATGTGACCCGAATAAGGTAGATGTAGATTTTGATAATTTATATATCTGAGTCAAGTATGCACAACTTGTGTGACCTGAGTAAGGTATATATAGGTTTTGATAACTCGTATACCAAAGTAAGGTATGTATAACTCATGTAACCTTCTTGAGTAAGGTATGTACAACTCGTGTAACTCTGAGTAAGGTATATATAACTCGGGTGACCCAGAATAAGGTATAACTTTTATAACTCGAGTAATCCCGAGTAGGATACAATTTTTATTCTTGTGTGACCTTAAGTAAGATACAATTTTTATACTCATATGACTCCGAGTAAAGTATTTTGTACTCATGTTACTATGAGTAAATTATAATTTTTATACTTGTGTGACTCTGAGTAAGGTATAATTTTTATATTTGTGTGACCCCGAGTAAGATACAACATTTATACTCATGTTACCCTAAGTAAGGTATAATTTTTATACTTATGTAACCTTGAGTGAGTAAGATATAATTTTTATACTCATGTGACCCTGAGTAAGGTATAATTTTTATACTTGTGTAACTTTGAGTAAGGTATAACTTTTATACTCATGTGACCCTAAGTAAGGTATAATGTATGTAAGTTTTACAACTCTAAGTCGTTGCAAATGAAGTGTGTAAGAGAACCATATCGAATGAGTTTATCGATTATATCTTTGACTCGTTGGCATTGGTTGATAGTATGTCCATAATTCCGATGAAAATGACGAGTACTTGGTGGTATCAGAGCATGAGTCAAAGATGGTAAAGGTGGTGCACACACCAATTCAAGTCCGAAAGTCTCTTGCAAGATGTTTTCTCGACTAGCATTCAAAAGTGTGTAATGTTCATGCCTAGTTGTCCTAAGTTTTTTCAAGGATTTGACCCAATAGGTCCGAGGAGAGGTATTGTTGTCCTCCATGCGAATATAATTGGCTACTTTAGTGTGTAGTTCATCGAGGGATATCGATGGAAAAATAAAACAACTATCAATCAAAGATCCCAGTTATAGAGTAACTTGTATTGCATATAAGACAATGGTTGGATGTAAATTCGATATAGAATTTGATATTTTCACAAATTGCTCCATGAAACAATAAAGGGATTCACCTTTGCTCTATTTCACACTTTCTAAAGCCACATATGTAACTTTATGCATATAGTTGGTTCCGAACCTAACTTGGAACCTCTCAACTAACATGTAGTATGAATCGATAAAGTTATATAGTGGAAAGTTGTATTATCGTAAGGTCGATCCTCATAACATGGTGGGAAAAACTCGGCACGTAAAGACTCTATTATTAGTGTATAATTTTACCTATATTTTGTAGATTACTAAATGTTCATTTGGATCTTTTGAGTCATCATACTTTTTCAACATAAACGATTGTCAATTAATTGGAAGAGGAGTTTCCGCGGTACTAGACTTAATAAATATTATTCTTTCCACATATTTCAATTTTTCATGTAAAGTGAGAGGATCATGACGAGGTAGGTATAGATTACATTATTTTCAAAATGGTTTTTCTGATATAAAAAAATATAAATACAAAAAAAAATTCACTCAAAAATTATTGGATAGTGACAAAAAAAAATATATTTTTAAAATAGTGTGATATATAAATATATCGAATAAGAAATAACTCTCTTTAATTAGGTAATAATTCTTTTAAATATATTCTACTTTTTAGGCCTTTTAAATTAATTCATTAAGTCAGAATTATTTTGATAGTCTTATAATTTTATATTAACTAGACATATATATTTATAAAACATCGATCTATTTTAAAAATAATAATATATTACTAAAGGTGGGTGAAGACGAAGAATAGAGAACATGTAAAGGCAAAAGTAAAGCACAGGCGTAACAAAATCACATAATAGAGAAACGTGATTGATTGTGAATGTAAAACAGTTTTATATTAAAAATGCAGAAAGTTTATATTCTTTATTAACTGGTTTTTAAAAGCATGCTTAATCAAACGGGTTTTTAAACTAATTGAGTATTAAATACTCCAATCTAAAGTTCTTCATTGAAATCAATATATTGGTTGGTGAAAGAGTAACTAGGAGAGAGAGAAATGTTTCCTTATTGCAAGAGGTTTATATGCAAATGGAATTGAATTGGAAAGGCACGTAGAATAGAATTGGAAAGTGAACTGGTATGGCATTACAGAACAAAAGAACTACTTAATTGCATAGGCAGTGGTAGGGACATTTTTTTATTAATGACCACCATACACTATTAAAACTATCTTCTCTTTTGGATAAATTTGCTTTCACATAGATTGTTACTGAGCTCACCCTTCTCAGCAATCATCCCTTTAGAAAATTACTTTGGTAGCGACGTGTTGGGTGAAATGGAGGGTAAAATTGTGACCTCATAGCTGATATTTGTCACTTTCAGCACACACCTGCTATCCCACATTTAAGATCATAGAACCTGCTACCAAGAAATGTATAGCTTCAAAGTATAGCTACTGCACCAACAAACTGTCACATTCTATAAGAATGTTAGGAGAGAAGTGTAGCAAAGTGGTGCATGACTAATAACATTGCTGCAGATTCAAAACACTTGTTTGATTATATGTAGCAGATTTTGGCCTTGTTGGCGATAGAAGAGAAGACTGAAAACCAAGTTTGTGCAAACTAACTGGTTTTGTGAACTAACAAAATTTAGCCTATATTTTTGCCAACATATTCACGTTCTGAATAGAACTTACTTGCACATACTTATACTTATAGAAGTTGTGGATGCAGGAGTTGATTGTCAAACCATCTTGTTATTGTTTCTAAAAGCTGTCAAAGCTAGATAACCTCACATGGGCATATGAATATTTTTCTTATCTAAAGCAACTTTTGGCGTGGTGCGAGACAGTGACACATCAAAGTTGAGTAACAGTAATTTGTAAACGGAAATAGCGAATAGTCCAACATATTCTAAACAATAGATTGTACTGTCTAGTTGGAATAATGTTATTGATTTTGGAGGAACATAAGGGATCGTACGTGGGTTCACAATCTAAGTAAGTAGAGAGGGAAAAAGAAAAGAAAAAAGAGAAGAAACCCTGGATTTGTGTGTACATCTAGCTAGAGCTAGATGCTTAGTTAGGCATTCCATATATAGATGGCATATTTGTCTATAACACTTGATCCCTAAGTACTTGACCTTTTTCATCACAATGAAATAAATAAAATCCCTTGATCAATCATTTTCAAGTCCAAGAAAGGAAGCCATCCTCTTTAGCTCCACATCCAAAAGGGTCTCCAGAGGGTCAAATTTCTCTGGCAAGAGATGGTGACAATGATCAGAAGGTGATGATGAGCTAGGACTGTTGGTTAAGCCTACCTGTTTGTTGTTGTGGTCTTCCTCCATTTGTGGGACCTTTGAGTTGGAATCATCAGCAATCAACAACTGGTTTTGATCAATGTCGATGAGGAAATCACTAAAAGAAGCTTCATCACTACTACCCTCTACTTTATTTGAGGGACTGGTATTGCCAGCACACCCACCATTCTCCATAATTTTACTGTATTCAACTGCATTAACTCTCCTAGGACGTGGCGCTTCGGGTGCTACATGCACTTGTTTGCTCTTCTCTTCTTCGTTACGTTTGTTTTGAAGTGAAGAAACAGATGATGATGTAGGGTGTTTCTGTAGCTTCTTTGACAGATTAGTGTTCCAGTAGTTCTTGATTTCATTGTCTGTTCGTCCAGGTAGCCTCTTTGCTATCAATGCCCATCTATATAAAGAACAAAAACCACTATGGTTTGTTTACATGTACGAGTAAGTAATGTACTAACGTTAATTCCACTAGAAACTTCAAATCCATGTTCACTATATGAGCGAGTTTTACATTGGTTGTCGAAGACATAACACAACCTCTTCCTTTACTTAGACCTTGTTAGAATTTTTATGATCTCACATTGTATAAATTGTCTTCAAAGTTGAATGAAAGTGGTGCTAAATTAATACTCAAGAGATCTTGTGGACTATGAGAGTTGTGTTGAGCAGAGTATATGTAAGTAAAAGAGCAAAATGAATAAATAAAATCACCTGTTACCAAGAAGACGATGAAGTCTGATTATCATATCCTCTTCATCCACAGAGATGTCACCTCTTTTTATACCGGGCTTGAGATAGTTCAACCACCTTTGTCTGCAGCTTTTTCCACATCGCTTTAAACCTGCAGACATCATTGTAATGTATACGTACAACCAAAATGCCAATGTCTAAAACCAAGAAAAAGTATTAATAATTGGATTGAAGGTCAAGGGAACACACTGTAGTTTTGTGAGGCACCTCATGCAAAATAAACAAAATCAGCTTCAAACTTGAACATTCATTCACCACCAAATCAAATGTTTAGACCATAGTTTTGTGCAATGAATGTGTGTAGGGCACATTTATGTATGTAATTATGTATAATAGAGAAAATGATATGAATGTGGATATATATACCTGCATTTTGGGCAACCTTCTGCCATTTTCCTTCTCCATGGATGACAACATATTTGGAAAGGGTTTCGTCTTCTTCTCGGGACCAAGCACCTTTGTTGATCTCTTTGGGACAGCAGGGTCGTCTTCCCATCTTCTTTACCAATGCTCCTCTCACTACAGACACTAGCTATACCTTCATATTGCACTCAAATTAACACCTGGCACGCACAAAATATGAGTCTTAATTATTACAAATATGATTAGTGTATCTTAGCAAATTTGTTGTACTTTCAATATTCCGTATCTATTGAAATATTAGTTTTTGTCTTTCTTTTTTTTTCTTTTCAAAACTATCTATTGATATTAGATTTATAAATTAAATTAATAATATATGCAAAACCTTGATAAAAAATAAAAAAGGTGACTAACACAATATTAAATAGATATAATAATAATAATATTTTAAGTAGATGGAATAAATATTTCATATTTTAGTTTTCATTTTATAAATAACAGTATATTCTTTTACAAACTTTTATAATAGTTTATGAAGAAAATGATTTAATATTTTGTTTATCGATTAAGAAAAAGAATGAAAGATTTTATTAGTAGGTGTATTTTGATTAATGAAAAGTTTAAATATAGAAAGGTGACAGATGAATTTGAATGGAGAAAAATGAGAAGAAGGAGAAGGAGGAAGCATTAATATGAGGATGGTGGTGCCGTAGTCCTGGATCGTATTGGAGGTGGCCAAAGGGGACCATCCAACAACTGATGGAGCATTACGAACCTACACAACACTACACCCAAGATGTTCCTCCATGCATACATATGCAAATTGGAGAAACCTTTTGGGGTTTCTGTCACCTGTCACACAATCAACCCTCCCATATGCAGAAAACTCATTAAATAAGAACCAAACACAAACACTCATTGTTTTAGTATGTGAGAAATAAGCAAAGTTGTTTTATTTAATTTCTTAACCATACTTTTGAAGAATTAAATTTGTATTCACTATTTCATAATGCTTTATCAATCTTACTCATCAAACTTCTCACACTTCAAGCACTCCTTTTCTTTTATAATCTCTTGAGTGTTTAATTTCTTTTGTTTCCCTGTTGCATGTCGACCAACTTAAGTTATTAAAGAATAACGGTCATATAACATCATCAACCTCCTCATGAATAATGTAATAACCAACATATAATGCCACCATCAAGAGTTAAAAAATATGTCCAACAAAACCTATTTAGTCTTGGTTCACATGGAGTAGGGTTAAAAAAAAAGTATATATGATCAAAGAACCCCCATGCGCTGTGGCCTAAGAGTGATCCATGTATATTATATTTTAATAATTTGATTTACTTTCTTAGTATTCTACCTATTTAAGGTCATTTTGAATATCAAGGTTGAGTGCAAGAAAGATGATAATAATTTTAAGATACTATAATCAAAATTGAGTTAGAGATGATCTAGTTAAGGTTGAGTTGGAGATTAGCTAAAAGTTATGGTTACACCGATGTCATTAAATAGAAATAACAATATGATCATACTATACCATTATAAAACAAGATGTTAAGGTTAAGAAAAAAAGTATTCAGATTAAAATCATTAAGAAAAGCGTTAGTCATGATTAGTTGAAATATGTTACTTTAGTTTAAAGATGTCCCAACTGAGACAAACTAAAAGATATATCTTAAAGTTGCAATGATTGAAGATAAATGATAATTCGATAAAGATCAAGTCGAAAATGTCTTGATTAAACAAAAGATATCCATAATAAGATTGAGTTATTGATGTCATAGTTAAGATTGAGTCAGAAATGTTTTAAGTAAGAGATATCTTGATTTAGACCAACCAAGATCAATGCTTAATTGAGATTGACTAAAATGACCAAGTTGATGTCAAGTAGATGAAATTTTGACCAAGTATAAGCAAAATATGTTTTAATTGAGGTCAATAATAGAATGTTTTAGTTAAAATCAACCAAAAATGCTCTAACCCAAATTGACCCAAAGATTCTTTGTCCAAGGCTACCTAAAAAATGTCTTGGTTAAGGTTGAGATAGAGATGCTTTATCTGAGGTTGAGACCAAGTCATGGATATTATGGTTAAGGCAAACTATATATGGCCAAACTAAAGATTTTTTTTTTTTTTTACTGGTATCAAGTTGAAGTTTTTCACCCTAGGTGAGTTGAAAGATATATATAATTAATGTTGGCCAAAAAATGAGTCGCACGATACTAGGTCAAAATTGGCTAAAGCCAAGGTTGTTCAACAAAAGTGCCACCTAAGGATAGTTGAAAGATATGTCAATTTGAGCAATTAAAAGATGTCCTATTTAAGGTTGATCAAAATATGATTTGGTTTAAATGGTCAAAATATGATTTGATCATAGTAAAACAAATATTATAATCATCACTTAATCAAAGATATTTTGCCTTAAGTTCAACCTAAGATGCATTGTTGAGTAAAAATATATTTACTAAAAATAATTGAAGATAACTTAGCCAAGATTAAACTAAAAATAATCTAGTAGACAATAATAACTATCTAAGACCAAATTAAAAATATCTAATCAAGAATGAGATAAATTTACTCTACTCAAACTTGAATTAAAACCATTTTCATTTATGTCAGATTGAAATTACTTTAATAGAATCTAAATTAAAATTGTTTTACTTTTCATTTTAGTTCCTAAAAAAGTTTTTTTTTATTTATAATTTCTATAAATATGCCATTATTTTTAATATCTTCAAACATTTCACTTTTATTTATAACCCATGCTATTTTTTTAGTTTCTACAAATAATCAATTTTGATTTTATAATGGCATCATCATTTGTTGGTTTAATGACTTTGGTGACATGGTCATAATGTCATCGTAACGTCGTTAATGTGAAGTGTAACGGAAAAGATAATGAAAAAAACTAAGAAAAGATAAATAACAGGAATCAAACTAACTTTTTTTAACAGACATCAAAATCAAAAACCCAGGTTTGATGAATACCCAGACTCATGCATATTCAGAATGCTAATGAATCTTCGTAAAGTCACCCATGTGATAAAGTTTTACACTACATTTATTATTATCAAATAAACTTCTTTTCTAAGTGTCGATGGTTCAAGAGTAGTGAACGATTTGAATTTTTTTGGCGATTCCTACTGAAATTGCATGAGACAACACAACCAGAACAAATGCTATAATTACTGTATATACTCTTTCGTTTCCGTTTTATAATTCACTACGTTTAAAATCCAAAGCTCCGAATTTGATGGTTGCTTTACACTCGATGCAAAATTGAAAAAGCTTTACACCAGTTTTGCCTAGTTAATCATAAACAGAGCATGTATCCAAGTATTTAAACTACAAATGAAGTCGGAAACAGGCACCAATGGACATTAAAAATCCATAATTAAGATTAAACTGTAAAAATTATTGACGGTTGGGGGGATAACAAGAGTTACTGGGATCCTTTAACAACTATTTTTCATGTCTAAATACTAAGTAATTACAGTTCCCTTGTATACTAATCAGTTTCAGCAAGCAATCTCTTCTCAGGCCTGATACGAAAAAAATCATAAGACAACAACTGGGTTAGAAAACTAATCAACCGCTCAAATCGTGGTACTTTATAGTGCTAAGCGAAAAATTAAAGAAAAATAAGGACATTTAGAGTTTTGATTATCTACAGCATTACTACATTGTCAAATACCAGTAGATAAACAGAGCTAAAGAATAAAAGAAAACTTAGGAGTTTAACAAAAATCCATATCCTTTGTATACAGTTTCCATTGAGAAGGTTTCGTACAATGTAGTAAATTCCTTTTAGTAAAATCAGCCATGCCAGATTAAGCCTTAAGGTATGTGCCAGCTGGCCTTTTCGGCTCAAAACTACACCCTGTATTGGGTTGTTATGAGACCGGGTCCTGATAGAGTCAAAAAGGGAAGTTGTAGGGGTATTTTAGTGAGGTCCAAATATAAGTGCTAGTGAGAAAACGGGAAAAGATTAATTCCGATCGTAATAATTATACATTTTCGGACTAGATTGACTTGTTGGGACTGAAGCAATGGAACATGTAAAGCAGCAAAAGAGAAAATACGAAAGGCATCTTACCAGGCATACAGACAGTCAAACCTAGCAGCATGAAGACCAAAATCAAAGGTTCATTAAAACCTTGTCATCTGCTGTAGCATTTGAGAACCAGCTGAATGAGAAACCAACTGCTCTGAACTCAAGGGTCTTACTAGATGGTGAGCTCCCACTGGGGTAGAATTAGGAATGCCCTGTCTACTCAACTCTTTAGAACTGTTAATATTTGAATCAGAGGCCGAGGATTCCATCATCGTGCGAATCTGATCATTCAAAGATTAGCAAGTTAGAAAGAAACATGTTGTTCAATAGAAGAAAATATAGATCAATCATACTCATGAATCCTCCAAACATACCATATCTAGGCGCCTCTTGTGGAGGTCATTTAATTGCTGCAAGTTTGAATAATAGCATGTAAGAATCCGACTATGAAGATTGTTTTCTTAATCAGGGAAAGGGGGGAAAACAGGAAAAGAGAGAGAAACACTTTTTTGCTTACAGGTTTGCTTTGATACTTTTTATCTTCACTTGAATATCCAGGAATTGTTAAATCCCAATTTTTTTCTGTGAATAATACACAGCAAACGGATAAATCAGTAAAGCTTTGAGGTCAATTATTTTTTGCAAACCACGATATAATAAAACGCTATCAATCCAAGCATTCAATTTAAATCACATTCAAAATATCAGGGTCATCCACAATCTTTTATAGATCATAGAAGCTTTAAATATGTCCACTGGACTATATTGAAAATAACATTCTAAAGTCAGCATAATGGACAACTTATCTAGTCTACTAACCCGAAGAATAGGATTCAAAGTTCAAACACATATTAGACAAATATGCTCAAGAAAGAGACAGTCATCGAATTTAGATTTAAGGCCTATGTCAACCGTTGCACAAGCTTTACAATTCTATTTAGTAATCGATGTCAAACTAGATTACCATCTTTTGAGGCTGCAATTAAAGCAGGTCCTAAAGAGGCAGCAACTAAAGTGGGTGGGGATGAATGCAAGTAAAGTGGCTTTTCAACATACATCAAGCAACTACCCCCACATCTCTTTGCATAAACCAACAATATTCAGATGAAGAGAGCATATTTAATCACCTAGACACAGTCGCCTGAGGCTCAACTCATCATCACTTAAAAAGCAATAAGATTCATATAATGCCATTTTTTTCCAGTGGTCAAATTAAACAATTAAAGTAGCCAATAATACTCCAATGGTCAAATTTTTTAAGTAACAAAACATTAGTCTAAATCACTTTGAAATATGCAACAGTTTCTTATTCTTCTTTTGTACAGGTGGGCTGAAAATAAGTTACACAAGCAACATACCTAGGTGTAGCAATAAATCCTTGGACTCCAAAGTTGACGATTTTCTATGTTTCGCCAAAATGCAACCATGTGTAGTTGTCTGCGTATAAGAAGAGGATAAGTGTATTTTCTGAAAAACATAACAATCTTGGCTAAAACACAAAATTGTCAACAGTACATTTTAGCATGAAAAAAAGAAATGGAATACAAGCCATTTGCAAAATATTTATTGCCTCAAGGGGACAATCCTGTATGACCATGTCAAGCACAAGGAGTACCGAAGTAGTTTTATACTTATATTATTATGAGTACTGCACTAGGAGCAGCGGTAAATGTTTAACAATTTAACAATAAAGCTAGAAAATTGTCAATTAGATTATCATGTCAAAAAAATCACTCGACCTACATATCACAAAATAAAGTGAGGCAGGAGTGGATTACAGATCACATAATATTAACAATATCAAGAATCCAGGGTAAAGAATTTATTAACCTTTCCAATTGAAATCAGCATGCATGCTTATAAGCCTAATTATAATAAAATCAACCCACTCAACAACTTCACTAATAATGAATTCAGGCATGTTGGGCAAACTTAATTCACATGGTGTCAGCCCTGACATTTAAAGTCAAGGCCTGCTATTGGGTAAGGATCAACTGCTTGGCGTGTACTACATACACATTTATCATGAAGTGGAAAAAAAGATAAAAACATGTTAGAATCCTTACAGAATCAATGAAATCATCGGCAAGCTCTAAAAGAAGATCTATAACTTCGGGATCCAGCGTACCTTGTGGATCCACCTGTACAATAGAAGTTATGATTCAAAATATAACCAATAAACAAAAAAATTATAAAAAAGACAAATGTTCAAAGAAAACCTGTGCAACTAAATCCTGTATCTTTCTCTTCCCAAGGACTTGGTTTGTTGCTTCAGTTCCTTGACTAGAACTACCACCTGGTGTAGTTGCACCAGATGCAGTAGCATCAGGCTGTGATCCTGTTAGACTGAATGACTTTTGGCCTGCAGGTCCTGGCATCCTTGGAGATTGTTGCTGTTGATGGACAGAAGCCTGTGGCTGAGACTGTTGTTGTGGCTGCTGCTGTATAAGCTGCTGTTGCAGCTGTTGAGGTTGCTGCTGCTGCTGATGCAGCTGAGGCTGCCCCATGGATTTCTGTTGCTGAATCAGCTGGGACAATTGCTGTTGATTGAGGGCAATAGAGTTTTGTTGCAGTTGAGCAGAAGAAGCCAACTGCTGCCTCTGCTGTTGAAGACGCAATGGTGAGCCAGGGCCAGACATTGCTGGCATTTGTTTAAGCCACTGTTGCTGTGTTAAGGAGTTATGAACCATTGCTGGTTGCCCATTCTGAGACAACCCAGACAACTGAGAATTCATAAAAGCAAGGGATGATGACCTTGGTAAACCTTGAACCTGTAGTCAACAGCATCGTCAATGCTCTAATACACCTCAATTTCACTTTGAAAAGTTCTACACATATTTACACACATAAATTGAAGTAATTCTTGACATCTTGAGCGGGAAGATAAACACATAGACCCATTCAACAGAAAATAGTTATATATTATAATCATTTCAAAATCCATTTCCTGAAAATTTATAATTATATATTATATACACTTAGCCCATTTGTAACAAAAAATACACCTGGCCCATTCCAAAAATAAATCATATGAACAGAAAAAATTTTGTTCACAAATCAGATGAGAAATAAATCATATAAGCAAAAACACATCAGAGAAACCTTATAAGCACAAACACATCAGAGAAACCTTAAAAGCAAAAACATCCGAGAAACCTTATAAGCAAAAAACATCAGAGAAACCTGGGTGGTGGTGCCACAATCACATTTTGCAATAATTTAGTGGGCAGAAACAGTGTTTGAAAACAAAGTCGAAATGGAATGGGACTTTAGTCCAGGGGAGCACAGATTAGGGTTCAGGGTTGCACAGTAGAATATTAGTGCTTTTTCCAAATTGGGGAAGAAAAGATTTAGGGTTTTTTTTTTGCCCCACAAAGATTGTCAGGGATTGAAGAAGCAAGGTAGTAAAAATAGGATAAACATTCTACTCAGATACCACCACTGAAAATAATGGTTCACACAAATCCAAAACAAGATGCATGCAAGAACAGTCCAAAACAAAAACATCACATTGGGGTATGATCAATGGCTTTAAAAATGAGAACATATTTGGAAGTCTCGGAGCATGAACATAAAAAAATGTACATCTTAAAATATCAAAAGACACAGCAGACCTTGATTGCATGTACATTTAAAATCTAAACCATGTAAAAATGTAACATAGACAAACTGGTATACAAAGATACAAGAACATTTGTAAGTATAATCATTTCCTAGTTCACTGAAGTTGTATCTAAATATATAAAGCATAGAATAACCTGTCCAGTGTTAAGTGAACTCTGCTGTGATATTTGCTGCCTGATTTGACCCTGACTCATTCGCAACTGCTGCGCATAAGCCAGGGCTCCATTAGCTCGTAGTTGTGAAGTGAGATTTGGTGATCCAATCATGCCCATTGCTTGCATTCCTTGCAGTGATTGTCCAGCAGAATTACCTGAGGAGAATTGAGACGGCTGAACTAGCCCACCTTTTTGCCTTGGCTATACCAAATTGAAAACTATTTCAGAAAAATAATTTTTTGACACAGAAGGCATGATACTCCAATAATTAATGAAATAGCCAAATTCAAGGTTGTCAAACCAATTAATATCATGAATCACCAAGCTAAATTTGAAATCATAAATCAGAAGATTTATAGCTCCAAATAAAAACATATAAAAGATGTATAGTCCTCAATGTAACCATTCTATATTAGAAAATTATTATGAGTCTCACCAAACAAAGTTTTCAGTAAAAATTTAAAAAAAATTATGAAGAGCCTCATAAAGCATAGCAGAACAACTAAATAGAAGAACGGAATACAATGCAGAGAATTAGCAACGGTCTGAAACAGGTACTATTTCAAGGAATGAAAATAGAACATTGGAACAAAAAGTTGGGTGAGTTTAGTAATGCACTTTAATTCCTTGTTATTTTAACAATTTAAGATTGTCCGTAAGGCTGATAAAAAATATTTGAACTGAACCAAATTGAAAATGTACTGAATTGTTATATTAATTTAGATTTTGAACACTGAATTACTCCCAAATAGAATTGTTTGAAGTAAATTGGACTATAACTTATGAAATTGGAAATATACTTTAAAATAAGATGTCAATTGGTAATTCAGATAATTCAAGCAAATTAAAAGTAACTTAGAGTAGTTCATTTTGGTTCAGTTCAATTTATCTAAACCATTATACAAAGTTCAGTTTAACAATAATTTAGTTCGATTCATGCATTTTGCCCACCCTAGTTAATGGAATTTTCATTTTCTTTGATAAACAATGGTAAAAAGAAAAGTACAACGTCAAAAATCGTATCACAGTAGATGAAGGTGGCTACAAAAATTGTTTAATGTCATTAAGCTCAGATAAAGACCAAATTCTCAAAGATACTATTCATCATGAAATCTCTTTGAACAATTTCCTCTAATGTCATTCTTGGTTTCCCTTTACCCCTTTCACCAAGGCTAAAAATCACCCAATCTACCCTACTCGCTAGTGCTTCCAATGGAAAATGGAAAAAGGAAAGTAAAAAATTAAGAACTATGGATTGTGTGATTTGGATCAGCATATGAAATTGTCCTGATTGTCTCATTCATCCATGTATCACAAGATTCAAAGTTTATCTGTGATTCATCAGAAGAAGATATACAAATTCCTGGCTAGCCTAATTGTATACAATTACGCAATCCAAATTGCAAATCACAAGATTGTAATCACTATACACACACAAAAACACCAACTTGAAATCACATTTATAACCAACAACACTTTTGACGCCATCCAGCAATAACACTTTCCAGTATTGCCATACAGAAAAACTTGGTATTATTCCAAAACAGCCACACTATAGCTTGGGAAAAATTTTATACAAAACCTATCACAAATACCTAAAAAAAAACAATGGTCGGAGACAGAAGCAAACGTAGTTGAAAAGGTAAACATGTAACACAGCTCAGTTGCTCCGATGGATTCCAATGCTCTCCGGTTCATGAAATAATAGACTGGCACAACTTCTATAAAGTAACAATCCATTATCATGTAAAATTTGCGCTATTATATCATTAACATGACTATGTCCCTCTTTGGATCAGCGTTCTCATAAACATTCAAAGTATTCACCTAAGCTACAGAGAAGTAAGATGAGAAATGTTCTATAAATTAAGTGCATAAGTTAATTTTAATCCATAGGTCAAGTTAACTTTGTCTAACCTTGATTTTTTGTTCTTTTTTTTCCTCCAATAAGTGTGGTTAAATCCCAAACGTACAATTTAGCATTTTTATCAGTTATCAAACATAAAATGCATAAACAATTTGCATAGAAAACGAAGTGAATCAATTATACCAAGGACTCTATTGGGTTAACTTTTCCGTAAACAATAAGAGGGGGAAAAACTAAGGTAAAATGAAATAAATGAGTTGACACCATAATTTAAAATCAGTATGAACCTAAGCTATAGAGAAGTAAGATGAGTGATGTTATTTAAAGGAAAGTGCATAAGTTAGCTTCAGGAAAATTTTCAATTTATTTTACATTTCTTTTTCCATTAAACGGGCTTAGCAAGAGTTTATAAAAAAGAAACCTATATATCCAAATCGCTACAGTTCGATTTACCGATTTCACTCCATTCAGTCTCAATCGTGAAAGACGAAATGCAAAAACAATTAGCACAGGAAAACGAAGTTGAATTATACCGAGGAGAGCAAGTTAAACTGCGTGCCAGCTCCGGACAACATGGGGAAGTGTCCGGTCTGCCCTATCAGCGCGGACCGCGACAAATTGGACCCGCCCAACTGCTGCTGCTGCTGCTGGCTCGCTCCACCGCCCGCGGCTGCGAAGCTCATCTGTCCGCCGTACAATCCGGCCTGGTGGCGCATGACGCCGAACTGCTGCTGCTGCTGCTGCGCCTGCTGCTGAGGCTGAATTTGATTGAGGCGCGAGATGGAAGGCGATCGCTGCAGCGTCTGCTGGAGTTGAAAATTGGAGATAGGGTTCATGCCGTTGATGCTGTTCATCGCTTGCGACGACACGAGCGGTTGTTGTTGTTGTTGTTGTTGTTGTTGAGGGGGACTCAATTGCTGATGAAGATTTTGCTGCTGCTGTTGTTGTTGTTGGTCTTGCGGAAGCGGAGGGAGGGAGGGTGAAGCCATGTTGTTGTGCGAAGGGGAAGGGATTGTAGGGTTGGAAGATTGTGCGGGGTTTTGAGGGTCCATTGGTGAGGGTTTGGACGAGGGTGATGCGGTTTCCGCCATTGATTTTAATTTGATGGATTGATCGGTGCTATGATGCGCCCATGGTTAAGGAAGAATTTTTCAGCGAGGCGAAGGGACAGAGCTGAGTTGAATTGAAAGAAGGTGGAAGCGAGGAGAATCGATCTGGGTCCTACACGTCACCAATCTGATTCAATTTTTCAATCCTGGTTTTTCCTTCTTGGTCTGCACCTTGGTTTCAAATAAAGAAAGAACAAAGAAAACAATCTCTTCTTTTTCAAAATTGAAAAACCTTTTTATTATCCATTACAAAATAAACAATGCGAGCTAGGATTAAAGTTTATTAAGCTTGCTTTGTCAAAATATTATAATAAAATAGTTGTTAGTCCTGGTTAAAAGTTTATTTAAACAAATTTAAATTGAAAAAAATAACTTATGCTATTTTTTTATAAAACAATACAGAATAAATGTTTTTTCCTCAAACTAAAAAAAAATATTTTCTCAATTTCAATAAAATCAAATTTAATAAAATATGAGTTTAGTCCTTAAACAATAAATTTGAAAAATAAAAAATATTTTTTAAATAGTCATTTTAATACTTCAAATTTTAAAGACTAAAATATTATTTTTAATTTGAAAACTAAAATAAATTAAAAATATAATTAAACATTTTTATATTTATAATAAATTTGTTAACTTAAAAATATCTATTATAAAGTATAGTCTATTTTATATTGTATATACAATTTTCTTTATTCTAATTATAAATAATAATAATACATTATTATTATTATTATTATTATAGGGTAGAATTATTTATGTTAAATTTTGATCAAATGGGATTCAAAGTTAAATTAAATAGTCATCCAAAATTAACTTTAAAAATAATTATAAAATAAGACAACTTTCTTTTGGGGTCTTCAAAAATCGAAAGTATTCATTTTAGCTTTTCTAGGGGATTTGCGAGGTTATTTTATAATGCCCATTGATTTAAAAGAAAAAATATCGACCATTGGCCAAGAAACTACGGAATGTAATGAGAAAACAAAAATACTAATTTAATTTGGTATAATTTATTAGAATAATTGTGACAAAAAATGAAGAAAACCATGTGAGAATGGGTATGTTCAGGTATTAGAACCCAAATTTGTTATACAACAAGGGTACAGTGAGCTATGTTCCCTTGAGATAGATTCAGTGTATATTTTCACTGAATCAGGTTTATCACAGCAACACTTCTCTTGGAATTCGAGAATGGTGGAATTCAACTTTCTGAACAATATTTTTTTTTTCCTTCTCTGTTAAACTTCTCTACATTCTTTTTTTGTTTGTGTTTTGGGAGGTAATCTTCCCTGTTATCCTTTTAAACACACCAAACAAAACAAAAGCATTACAAAAATGTAGACTAGAACAATATGAGATTCCCTAGCTAGAGAACAATAGCTTATGCTCACTGCTCTTCCTGCCTTTTGGAAAGAGGCAATCACAAATCCAGGGTCATCTCTTGCGTTCCATGACATTGCTGGAACACTAATCTCACGAGTTCTGTCCTGATGAACGTGATCAGAAAATGTATACCTGTGAGCACTGAAAATAATCCTGCAGACAATGGGTAGAGAGACATGTCAAAGGAGTATTTGCTCCTTCTCTTTATTCCATTAGTTCTCTAACCCCCAGTTGCGCAAGTAAATTTTACTTCTTCCACAATTATCAGGGAAAATAATGCATCAACTAATAAAGGTGAGAAAACTCAACATGTTAGCACCATCCCCAATGTCTACATCATATGTAGACATTTATCAGCCTAAACATTCAATATGAAATACAAACGGAATCAGCTCTCATGCACAATACCAAATAATCAAATGTAACTTTAAAAATCCTTCTCCCACTAAACCAGAATATATCTTTGACCTTAATTGAATAGCAAATAAGTCAAATATTAACATGCAACTGGGAAAAGTTGGTTACGTTCACGAGATGGAGTATAAAAAAGGGAAAATGTTAAAATGACACTAAAGTATTAACCAGCAACCGTTGAAGTAGCTTATATTCACAAGATGTAGAAAAATACTATTAAAAAGAAACTAAATAACTAAAGCATATATACTACAAAGACAGACAAAAAAGAGCAAACAAATAACACAAAAGTCCAGTTGAAGCAATGGGTTGATACCTAAAATCTACAGCATAATGGTTTACCACATTCTATGAGGCATACATAACTACAAAACCAAGGAAAATATGTCTCATTGATGGATTGACTGTCAGGTTCATATCATATCAGTTTCAAAACCTAGGATGACGGAGAATAAGATAAGAGATCTATTCCAATCAAATCAATACGAGAACTTGTAAGAGCATGATCTTCAAGTTATGGAGATGTCTCCTCCCACCCGAAGGCACAGAACCTCTAATTTCAGAAAAGAAAAACTTACTACCCTTAACGTATGATCCTCCTCCCTAAAATTATATATCCAACAAAATTCCCTCTCTTGCTATATAAACCAGTTGTTTTTTTATTTCTGTATCAGTCATCGTACTGCCATTCCCTCAGCTGATTACTATCCTCTCTACCCTCCTTAATTGTGTTGGGGGAGTATACCTGCACGAATTGGATTTGGACCAGGATGAACCATCATAGGACCAATATTATTTTACCTCGAGGTTAAGGTAAAGATGTATAACTTGTAACTGAAAGCATAGCATATTTCCTAACACGCAAAAGAGAATCAAATCAAGTACTTATCATCTGAACACAATTAAATAAGCACTTGATTACCTTGGTTTCAGAGCTTCTAAAATGTACTCAGAAGCATTCAAAGGCAGGGTATGAAGCAACTTATACAGGCCACCCTCGATGACATCCCTAATTCCAAAAAATAAAATTATAGAACAGAAAGTTTAACAACATGAATAATGCGAGAATGAACACTGATTACTGGCTACAAAATAAACATAAAACTATCAACATAACCACTGAACGCAAAATTTTCCTAAATTTTTAGAATACTATTTTCATTCTCCAAAACTTTGAATTCCTCAAAGATTTTAAATTTTGGAAAAGGGTAAGATCGAAACTTCAGTCCATTATTTCAATAAAAGGGAGTGAGGGTCCTTACAAACACAATAAAACGATAGAGAATTATGTGCTTCAATCTTCCTCATCATTATACAGAAAAGCATTATAACCTAATATAAATATATGAGCAAAAAATACTTAGATCCAGTTCCTTATTGCTTTTGGTGCTGAACACCAATCAAAAATTGAAATGTCGTCTCGGTAACCAATGTTGATCTTTAACATAAATATTTAATATCCAGATTACTAAGGTTATACTGATTAAAGACAGAATTAAAACACTTAAGGAACTGCACATACATGTTTGAATTACCATCAGTGATCCACATCTGAGCAAATCATCACCAAACACACTACAAGCAACTAGTAGTGGCTTCAGTGACGGATACCAGAGTTGTATGGATATGAGGATCCAAACAAATGCTGCATCTAAGGTTTGTTGTGTAAATATACCAAACAATTTATTCAGAGAACTACGGTCATACTCAGTCACACACATTCAGAAAGACTAATAAACGTAAAACATATGGCCGAATGGTCTATTTGGTCATTGTATTTTAATGATACATGCTGGATCATATTGAAGCTAAGGATGAGCGTCAAAGACTAAAACTACTAACCACTAACCTGCTTGCTGGCACCAAATTTAACCGCTCCCCGGAAGAAGTCCAAGATCTCTCACAATCACCAACCCCACCACAGAGTTCATTCCTCGTTCGATCCAACGGCAAGTGCAGCAGAACGACAGGCCCTGACCCAGACAGCACATCCGCGTCTCCAAACCCCCCAAAACCATTCACTCTCTTCACCACCCCTTCCGTTCCCACGCGAACCTCCAGACTCTCCCTCTCGATCACCTTCTCAACCTCAAAACGCAACCCACCACTCCCCCCGCAAAGCAGAGCCACCGCATTCAGCGTGACAAAACTCACGTTCCCAATCTCAAACGCAGCGCAGCCAGAGGAATCCAACCCTGGCAACTTGCTCGCAATCCAACTAACCCTGTCAACATCAATGTCCCCACACTCTCCAACGTCCCTGTCGCCGAGAACTGCATGGAACGGAAGTCCAACAAAAGGGCCCAACACTCTGTAAAACCGCCGCAGCACCGACACCCACTTGCTCCTCGTTAGCTCTGCGCCTCGCGCAGAAACGTCCCCCAACACCAGAAGCAAATCGGGCCGCAAAACCTCGAACGATTTCTGAGCAATCGGTGACGCGTCTATAAATTAAAAAAATAAAATTGAGAAAATGGGGTTGTACAAGTAAAGTACTTTAAGCCCTTAACGTTAGTACCCGAAAGAATTTGGACATATAGTAGTCTCGGAAGAAGAGGTTGACGAAGCCGGAATCGGAGAGAAGGAGGTCAGCGACCATCATGACTTTCAGATTCTTGTTGTTGTTGTGTAGGTGTGGGTGGTGTTGTAGGGAATCATTGTTGTTGTTGCAAGTGGGTGTTGACACCCAGTCTTCGAAAAGGAGTATAGAGAGGATTGCTAGTAGCAGGAGGGAGAGGGTTTTGAAATTAAGCGACATGATTCTTCACTTGCGAAGATTCACGACGCGACGAGTTATGTTTTGAGAGAACACACATCTGTTTCCGAGTCGAACCTTACATTCTCCGCGCGTTCCTTGAACTTCTCTCTCACACTTTCTGCGGCACTGTTTGGTTTCTTTCTACTACTGCCATTGTTTCGTCACATGTTGGTTACTGAAGAATAAACAATGGTGCCCTACTTCACCATGGCTAACATGCTCTCTCTTTTATGTGTTTTATTATTGAAATGCTTTATTTATTTTACCTATTTATATTATTTTAGCTTTTCAGTATATGTTTTTCATTGTCTCTTTCAATTTCACCTGTTTAATAATATTGTTGATGTCAAAAATTACATTATTCTACATAATATTCGGATAAATTATGTTTTGTTTCAAAATCCATATTCATGATAAGAAGAAAGAAAAAGATAGATAGCACCACCAAATATTTCAAAAACTTTTAACCTGCAATAGAATTTCACATAATAAAATTCTACTCTAACTAAATAATATATAGAAAACAACTACATAAACTTTTATGTCCATATTTAAAGTAACTATCATAACTCAAACTATTTTTTATTATTTTAGTAACATTAATCAATATATGTCAGTTTTAACATTAATAAACCATGAGTTATGACAAAAACTTTAAAAATGTTGAAAATATATTTAGAACTTAAAACTATCAAATTTTGAAAGAGATTTAAAAAAAAACTATATAAACTAAAATTATATTTAAATAAAAATTATATATATATATATAAAGTGAATTAATTAAAAAATAGAGATTTGGTATTTGTACAATACAGTGAAGTGTAAACGTTCGGCTTACAAAGTGATATTTCCTTATTAGCTAACAATCGACGGTCCCTTTTTTTCTCTCTCCTCTGTGTTATGCTTCCTTCACCACTTTTGTTTTTTTTTTTTATATATTAACTAATTTATTTTTTATTAAATTACCACCTATTATATATAATATATTGGTTATAGTGATAAATATATCCCAATTTTATGTATATTTTTTAATATTTTATTTTTAATTTATTTTCAAGTAACGGCTGCAGAATGAATGGTTATAAGTGACTCTCTTTCTCTCTTCTTCTATTTTTACACTTGAATTTATTTACCATCCGACTCTTTTTCCTTTTCTTTTTTTCTTTATTTTATTTTTATTGTAAATGTACAAAGGGCCCATGGTACTACTAGTCATTTACTCCCTATAATGACTTTAAAAAAAATATACAAAATTTGCTTATTCATGTTCAAATCTACATCGATGAATATTTTTTTCTATTATTATTATTTTATTTTTTAGTGAAAAAAATATTATAAAATGTAAATGAGGGGCATGATTTGTTTTATAATAACAGTGGTTCTATAAGAGATCAAATGAGAAATATAGTGATTATTATATCAGTTTAAAAATATAGTGTCTCAAATTCAAATGGGTTATTATAATAATGTTATGATTAACATTTGATGTATTTACAAGTTATATAGTATATGATTATGATCTTAAAAAATATTTAGTGAATTAAGAGTATATAATACTTATAATTTATATTTTTTATCTCGATGATATTTATAAAAAATAATAAAATGTAATCTCGAGTTAATGATGAGATAAAGTCAAAACTTTAATTTTAACTCAGATTAAATATTAATATAATCTTTGATAATTTTATTTTTAAGAGAATTAATAATAGATATAAGATTTATGATTATAAAAGAAATGATTATATTTTAATGATGGTTTCACTAAGTTCTTAAATCTTTTATATCATTTAGGAGTTTAGATTAATGAGATTTTATATATGTAATCTTCTCTTAATCTATTGAATTTTTTTAAAGACAAAACTGTTACGGATTAAAATTTTAAAACGGACAATACCTTAAGCATAGAAAATGATCATAATAATATTATCATGACGGATATGAAGTTGGACACTTTTATACGCTTATGAAGTCTCACACCATTTAGGAGTAAAGGTTAAGGATAATATATTCATCTCTGCATAACGTTTAGAAGTTTTTTGCAACCCTTATGCTTAAAATCTAGCAACTGACACCTGTTTTGTGGGTGAGTGATGCTTGAAAACGTGGAGGACGCATGTTATTGCAACTAAACCAGGTTTTGCAGAGCGCAACTCTCGTGGGCAGCGGTTTCACATTTGTGGGTTTTATGTTTGTGGGTTTGTGAGAAATTTTGTTTGCAATACACTATTTTCCTAATCATCTCCCCATATATTGCAAAATCAAAAGAGATAAAGAAAATATTAGGTCTCATATAAGATGTAATGCATCAAAGTTGATATAACAAACGATAAGAACTAGTCCTAGAATAAAAACTTAACACATAGTGTAGTTGGTATAACAAACTATATGAATCAAAACATTCAGTCTGTGTTAGCGGTTTAACAATCACATTACACCCTCATAACTTTTTGTCATTATCGTTGTGTTGCGTTTGCTAGGTCACGCACATGCCCAATATTCATGAGTGCTTTAAAAGTCTTGCAAATATTTCATACAAACGACCCCACTTGACACTCACATAGGTGATTTCATTAAGTGTATGTTACAAATCATACACTACTTGTAAGAGATATGAAATCATTAAAAATTTTGTTTAGGCTAAAATTCGTACATCATATAAAATTTTAATTACAAAGTTTAACCTCTTATTAATGCAGTATCTAACACTTTCAAACACACATCATAGAAATGAACATAATTGATTTTAATCAATTTTAGTGCTAACATAACTAACAAGTGACTTGTTTTTACCCATATGAACCTTATTCATAGGATCTTCAATCACAAATATTGGTTTATTATCACTTGTTTGTTTACAATTGGCTTGAGTCTCATCCCTCTTGATGATTCTAAAATTATGTTTCTCCCTGTGGGTTTCGTTAAAGGATATGCTAGATTTCGCTTTGACTTTACATAGCTAATGAAAATTGTTTCACTCTTTATCAGTTGTTTCACCAAATTGTGTATCAATTATATATGTCTATTCTTTTCATTATAATTCTTGCTTTTAGTTATAATTATTGTGGATTGACAATCATAATGTATTGACATAGAAGTGGTTGCTTTCATCCCTAACGAAATGCTTGCTAAGAAGTTTTTCATGCCAGTCATTTCAAGAATAACAAACTTTGATTCCATTGTTGATCTTGTAATGATTATTTTCCTGGTTGATCTCCATGTAATTTCATCACCCCAAGTGTAAATACATAACCATTAGTGAATTTTGTCTCATCTAAATTAGAGATCCAGTTAGCATCATTATACCCTTCAACAAGAAATTCACTATATTCAATGATATAATTCATTGAACCTCTTAAGTATCTTATAAGCATTGCAAGTGCATCTCAATGTTCCTGATTAAGACATTGAGTGTACCTACTCAGTCTACCTATTGCATAAGCAGACCTAGAAAAGCTCATTAGATGCAGTAAGCTCCCAATTATTTGGGCATACTGAGGTTGGGAAATAAAATTTTCTCTATTTTTCTTTAATTTAGAGTTAGCATCATAAGGGGTACCCATTGGTTTGAAGTTATAATGCCAAAACTTCATAAGAAGTTTCCCAATGTATTGTTCTTGGATAATAAAATATTATCTCCCTTCCTTATGATTCTAACTCCCAAAATCACATTGGCTACATTCATGTCTTTCATTTCAAATTTAGATTCTAGAAATAATTTAGTTATAAAGACTATATTAATGTATGTACTAAATATTATCATGTCATCTACATATAAGCATATAATGACACATTCACCACTTTCGAATTTGTAGTACACACATTTATCAACATCATTAGTTGAAAAGTCATTACAGAGTAAAACACTATCAAATTTTTCATGTCATTGTTTTTGTGTATGTTTTAATCCATACAAATATTTTAAAAGTTTGCACACTTTGTTCTCTTAACCAGAAACAACACACCCTTCAGATTGAATCATATAAATTTTCTCTTCTAATTCATCATTCAAAAAAGTTGTCTTAACATCTATTTGATGTATAACTAGCTTATGGATAGTTGTTAAAGCTAACAAAATTTGAATATAAGAAATCCTTTTCACAGGGGAAAAGTATCAAAATAATCAGTGTTGTGTTTTTGAGTAAAACCCTTTGCTACTAATTTTGCCTTATATTTATCTATGGATCCATCGAGATAATACTTTTTCTTATATATCAATTTACAATCAATGGGTTTTTCTCGCTTAGGAAAATCTACTAAGGTCCAAATCTTATTTTTCTTGATTGAGTTAATTCTAGTTTTAATGACTTTATCTCAATATGTTGCATCATGAGTACTAATAACTTCTAAAAAACTCGTTGGATAATTTTCAATTATATAAGTGTAAAAATCATCTTCAAAGGAGGTTTTCTTTCTCTGTCTTTTACTTCTCCTCATACATGTCATCACTGTTAATATTTATAAATTGTTTAAGTGTTTCATTAACCTTAAAGGAAAAATATGTTCAAAGAACTCAACATTTTTTGTCTCGACTATAATATTATGTTTAATTACCTCACTTTTAAGGATACAAAACCTACAGGCAGCACTATGTTTCACATAGCCTAAAAGCATATAATCAAAAGTTTTAGAACCTATTTTCCTTTTCTTAGGATCGGATAACATTATCTTAGTTAGACTAAGATTAGGTTGATAACCTCTTCATAACTCATAGAGATTTTTACCAGTTTTCTTATATGTAATATCCTATTTTGTAAAAAACATGTTGTAAGTAGAGTTTCTTCCTAAAAGTTATCAGGTGCACTAGAATTAATAAGCTTGACATTCATCATTTCTTTAAGAGT